AAAGTAATAATTATTAAAATAAACAATATCAATAATAAAAAATATATATTATTATAATAACAATAGTGGTAATAATGAAAAGAATAAAAAACAGCAGTAATAATAAATAACAATAACAATAATAATAATAACAATCCCTATTATCATCATCATCACCATAATAAAACAATAATAGCAGTGATGATAATGATAGTTATAATTTATTTATTTATTTAAAAATTTCAGCAGCCAATCGAAGATCATTAGTGGCATATTCAAAATATAGTGACAGGGTGAGCCTTGGGGGTGAAGCCTCCAGATAAAGAAAGCTCGTACAGGTGAAAATGAGTTAACGATTAGGACAAAATATGTTAGATGTCAAAGGTTGTACAGTCTGCAGTTTAGTATGGTATGAAGAGGGTAAAGAGAGAAGAACAAATGGAATATGATGATTGTTTGGCTGTTCAGGATGGACACAAAGCCAGCCTTTCATCCTTTCAGCATGGCTCTCACACTTTAGGATGTGGAAAGAAGAAGGGCATGAAGAAGAGAAGGAAAAGACCATGCAAAATTTGTTGAGACAAGGGCTGAGGTCCAAGGTAGGGGTAATACCCTACACTGGGCCTCAGTCTCCATCTCCTATGCCTCCCCACAATAACAAGAAAAAGATTAGGGGTATAGTAACAATAAGAATCATAACGATATTAATAATAGCAATAATAATAATTATTATTATCATAGTAATAATAATAATAATCATTGTTATTATCATCATCATTACTTTTATTAATGCTCTTACAATTATCATCATTATCATAATCACAATTATCATAAGTACAATTCATAATTAGAATAATAAATATACCAAGAAATAATGATGATGATAATAGTAATAATTATAATAATAATAACAATAATAATAATATCAAAATAATATGAATACTCATAATAATAATAACAATAATAACAATAATAATAATAAATAGTAATAACATAACAGATATACCAATGGTAGGTTTTACAGTAACAAAAACTTACCAACATATTAAGTTGTACTCTGTAATACATATGAGTATTAGCAAAAAAAAAAAAAAAAAAAAACGTGCTTTACAGTAGTGTATAATATTTTGCTTGGACCTGTAATTAACAATTTTTTGAATACAGAAAGAAATGAAAATCTATAACATATATAAGATTTTTGCTCTTCTTGACACCACGGCAAGTAATAAATCTAAGCTTTTCTTTGGATCTATTGTGATTTCATCTAAGAAATACCATTGTTTGTCTGAGCTAGAACTTCTGGGTGAAATGGTTAGTGAAGAAATGTTCAAGTATGAGTTTTGTACCTGTTAAACCATTAATCCTTTTTTTACATAATTAATTAAGGTCACTGATAAACGTGTTGCCATTCTAAGAAGCAGGATTTAGCGTAAAGCCTGTTTTTGAATATATAACTATTGGGACTAAATCTCTTTTAACTACATACCTGAAATCTTACAATCAAACCAGCATCTACATGAAATTTGCAAAAATGAAAATTCAGTATTTTCAAATGGTTCAGTTAATTCCCAATTCAAGAAAATAACTAATTAAAAATGGAAATATATATGCAGATACATGTTTTCTTAATAAGGTAGACAATTGTTATGACTCCTTTTCACAACAATTTGCTAATCTTATAACTTCAACAAGCTTTAGCTGATGCCATGCAGTATCATAAATTACAATATTTTACATATGTACACCTTTTAAGGATAATAAAACAGTAAATAGCACGAAATGGTTGAATATTGTACTTGTATGTACGGAGGACAACATGACTCGACAACACTGATGTACAACGGAGTCTATCTCAACCTTCCTTATTCTCTTAACTCACTTTTTAAGCCAAATGACCCACACTATGATGTATTTGTTCTTCATAACAGCCATTCTCCAGTCATCTTCACTGCTTGTAATTTCAAGGAAGCTGCAGCTATAATCATCAACTACTAATACCTGATGGCACTGTTTGATAACCTTATTGCTGCTTTAGATCCCTTGTTACAGTTGGCAGTTTCAATGCATAACTCCTAATCTCCTATGGTTCTTTGAGATGTTCATTATCAACACTAAGATGCCATAGTCTTTGAGACAACGAGAAGTTAATGCTAACTGTGAAGATCACGTGACATCATCAGGTAGAGTGGCAGGCTGGATAAAAAATGTCCAAAAAGAAGAATAAAAAAATTGTGATGATCTAGTAAAAACCTCCACTGCCGACTTTAAAAAATGGCAGATTAGGAAGCCATCCTCCGCCACTAATGCCACACTCATGGTAGTGTTTTACATAGTTATTCACTTCTTCTTTTGTTTCTCTTTATCCTCTGTTTGGTAATGGTCCTCGGCAAAACATACATCATAGTAACAGCCCATGACATGACATGTTTTGACTTGATCAGTCATGTGCCGGCTGAAATTGTCCAGACTATTAAGCTTCAACCCTGTAAACTTTCATAAAATCCTGAAGAAAACTAGAGTAGTTCATGTGTCTTAGCTCAGCAACCAACCCTAACTCGACACTCAGGTCTAGGATGAGTCTCCATGAGCAGGAATGAGCTAAAGACTTTGGCCCCAATTCTTAAACATTACTCAGGTAAAGATTAGTAGTACATTGGTACATGCTTATGCTTAAGCTAAAACCACAGAAACTCAAAGTCTATATTTGGCAATGCAAATATTCTCCAACTTGACTTTGTTGTTTCTGTTACTAACACTCAAGTGACGTTTAAAAATTTAGGCCTTTGAACTTGGATAATAAGCGCATGGGGGGAAGAAGGCCGTGAACTTTTCTTTCTTTTTTAAAATTCACAAATCTCCTAACCATAAACACTTCAAACGTGCCAAAAAAATCGGAAAAAATCCTGCCTACCTTCCTTCGTTTACTGATACGGGTATACCACAAGCCTAATGCAGAGGTCTTGTGGTAATGTCTGGAGTAATATTAAAATCATTATTGTAGTCTAGAACATATACTACATTAAACAGACAAATAGTCATTATATTGCCACATGGAACATACACTTCAGCGCCGAGAACTTGTGACGTAAAGTACAGTGAACTCTTTAACTAGAAAGCGAGGGTGTATACAAGATAGTCGGCACATTAGAACATCATTAACTGACAACTAAAACATTTTGGCACACTTAATACATAGCCTTTACATCTATATTAGGATTGTCTACAGATAAGGGAATATATTACACATGAATGTATTACCCTTACACATCTAACATATTATATGGTCTTTCATCATCATTTCACTCAATAAATTAAGCTGCAAAATTCTTGATTTTTGTCTACAATTGTGTCTCATCTGAAGACAATAGAGCTGATTTAAGAGGTCCATAAAATCTGTCGCCTGACATAACTTTATTTACCCTCGTGCTTATGATTACCAATCACACGTGTGAGCAGCCTATCATCATGTGAAGTGCTGATGGCGCGGATGACCAACAACTGAAAACCTATAAAAAAACGCATCAAAATCACGAAACCCATTCCTGGCACCGGCTGAGCCCATGGTACCGAAGCCACTCAAGGTTTCGTCTAAAACAAGTCAGAGAGAAGTCAAATAGAGGATTTTGTAGGCATATTATATATCTATAAGAAGAATTCTGTATACCTTATGATCTTCTGATCATAACTTCTTTTCCATTCCAGTCCATGTTGATACATAATGGATATGGAAACAAAGTGACCTTACCATGACCTTATCATATGAAAAGTACCGGTATATGACTTCCTCTTAGACATATTTAAAAAATAATCACCCAGACTGATATATGTGGAAGGGCCATAGCATGCATAAAATGCAGAGGGCATGAAATGATCCTTCCCTTTTATCAAAGTCAATTTCTCAAAGTGGTTATTTGCCTTCATTTTCAGAAAATGTATTACACTTTCCCTTGGCCTTTGGAAATCACTGAAGAAGTAAAAGGCCTTAATTAGAGAATACCTTTCTGAATATCCTCAAACTAAGGATCCTGATTTATGTTTCCAGTCACACATACAAAATATTTGTAAGTTACTGAGGATTCTGAAAACTAAATCTAAAATCATTTACACCTGAACTGAAAGAGATCTTAACTGTGTGGTTCTGCTTTTTACCAAAGCTTGAAGCTACTTCATTTTCATAGTTTAACTGTGTATACATGTGAACATATATATGCAAATATAAATATATATATATATATATATATATATATATATATATATATATATATATATATATATATATATATATATATATATATATATATATATATATATATATATATATATATATATATATATATATATATATATATATATATATATATATATATATAATATATATATATATATATTATATATATATATATATATATATATATGTATATATGTATATGTATATGTATATATGTATATATATATATATATGTATATATATATATATATATATATATATATATATATATATATATATATATATTATATATATATATATATATATATATATATATATATATATATATATATATATATATATATATATATATATATATATATACATATATATATGCACTAATATACATTTGTATGTGCATGCTTATACATGTATGCATATCAATGTGTATATGAATATAAATATATACATAAATATACATACATAATATATATGTATATAATATATATATTATATATATATATATATATATATATATATATATATATATATATATATATATATATATATATATATATATATATATATATATATATATATATATATATATATATATATATATATATATATATATATATATATATATATATATATATATATATATATATATATATATATATATATATATATATAATATATATATATATATATACATATATATATATATATATATATATATATATATATATATATATATATATAATATATAGTATATATATATATATATATATATATACATATATTCATACATACACACACTGTAAATATATTGCTTTAGGGACTATGATTGGTCCTTATTATGGCATTCTTAGAAGACTGTGACACAGATTCTGAAATAGCCCTTGAAGGTTATCTGTTGCCTGATACCCTATGCTCAATATTTGTTACTAGAGAGGTTTTACAAAGTTCAATAAAAAGTGATTATGTATTTGAAGCAGTCTATTTATGTAATATGATTGCTACAACATCTACAGGTACTATGGTTGGTGGCTATAGGGCAAGTTGAAAAGTCAGGAACAACTAGAATTTAATAGCCATTTGATTAGCAGTAAGGGTCACCAAGTAGTGTTTTTTCTATCAAGAAAACCCGAGTTCTACTTCAGAACACAAAGAACAATCTTCCTTATTCTATAAGAAAAGCTTTTGGACCCACACTTTGGTACTGATGTCAGCTGTAGATAACATCTAGTTGGTCACCCGCGATTGTAGTTAGAAATATCAGATAAAGGATTGGGGATATCAGACTTTTTTACGGCATTGTTTTGGGTTCGCAAAAGAAGTATTTACTAACCCTTACATTCTTTACCATGTGAAAATCTGACACTTAAACACTCTTATGCCCCAATCTCCTTTAGATGCCACCTAACTTGGTGAAATCTAAGTTATGTGAGCTTTTAAATGTTGTAACATTTATCATCCAATACGAGTTAGAAAAATGTATTTGGTCAGTGTCTGAAGAAGCTCACTGGAATAGAATTTGGTAGGAATAAAATCCTATCATCATCCTGATAATCATATGTAGATAGATATTTACCTGATAGTCAGTGTGCATCTCAAGAGCACAAAAATGTAAAGTTATATTGCTGTTATTGAAAATACTGAGAAAGTAACTTGTATCCCTCAAAACATACTGACCATTCGTACCTCCACAAACTTCACTTTTAATACTTGTAAAAACTAATGCATGATGACATTAAGTTTTTACTGAAAACCTATAACAAAACTATTATTTGATGATTTAAGTCTGGCAAAGAGTTTCAGCAAGGTAATTCCCATCTAAATTTGATCAGGCATGTCATATACATGAGAAAGAGGAAAACATGCCTTTCGGAGACAATGGATACATGAGCTACCTTGCCGTTCGTCCTTGCAACTATTCAGTGATACGTACAGTTCGTCCCAAATCGTTGCATTGTTAGTTAAGTTGCTTGGTATTTGTGGTTGTCTTTTATCTCCCTGTTCTGTTTATGTTTTTGATCTCCCTTGAACTTTGTGCAAAATCTTGCATCCTATGTAGCAAAAATTAAGAAAATTGAAGCCGTCATGAAATTTCATTATCTGACTATCTGCACTAAGCATTTTTATAGATCTACTTTAATAATGCTGAATCTATAAAACAATTTTTTTCTTAATGAATCCTAAAAACCTGCATATCTATTCTGCCTTCTAAAGATTTCCTCAACCATATGAATTTGGTAATGGAAGATAATTAAGTTGCCTCACACATCTGGATGACTCTGGGAAGATCTACATTCAGGAAAATTTGGCACATCTATCTTCATGCTACCTAGTGTCTACAGCATCAGTAATCATCCATTATAAGAGATGAGGTTTTAAGTCATCTACTCTTTTGATGGTATGTTATTGTCAACACCCTGTAGCAACCTGTGGTAAGATGTCCAACTGCTTCCACAGAGACAAATATAACAAAAATAACCACTGTTTCACTTGCAATAAATAGTTAGTTCTAATGATAATTACAGTTTTATCACTTCCACTGTTCTATGTTATTCACAAAGGATATTATAAATCATTATTGAACATCAGGTGAGGTAATCCACAATATTTCATATAAATCTCTAATTTATAACAAAAGAGAGTAAAAAATGAGACCTTTCATAAATATTCAAAGAAATTCAACAAGTCACAAAATTAACATTTAATCTTCAGATCACTGGTGATAGATGACAATTATAAAGTCTATAATAAATGTTTTTTCATTTCTAATATTAGCTTTTAATATATATGCAATGTATGGTTCCAAAATTATGCAGTCCATTTTTCATAAACATCACACCATAAATAAATTCAGCCCAATATTATAGTATAAGTATCTTGTTCTGAGTGATGTGCAAATATCTGATAAACATGTTTTTTTTCTTTGTAGGTTGTATGCAGTTGTACTTGTTTGAAAATGGTATAGTCAGTCACCTTCGCACATATATCAACTATTTTCTTTTTTTTTACCATCATAATTTAAATAAGATTAATAATGATATCTATAACAGTAATAATAATAACACATAAATAATAATAATAATAATAATTATGATATATAATCATGTATAATAATAATAATAATAATAACAATAACAATAATAATGTTAATAATAATAATAATAATGACAGTTATAATAATTACGATAGTGATGGTTATAAAGAATCTCCAGTTCTGTTTTTCACACTCACTCTCAGCCTTTTCCCTGTCATGAACTTTGGATTCTCACCCCTCAATATCTTCTTGTTTCAATTAT